TATTAGTTTTAGATTTCCACTATTAGAACCTGACTCTGCTGCTAAACCTACAAATCGCATCCAACAAGTTATTGGAGTCTCTTTTGTTTTGTTTGGTTTGAAAGCAAACTGTGCCCACAGTGTCACTGCCGTGTTTGGATCTGTAACTACATCCACCAAACGCAGTCGGTCAAATATTAGAAGTTAAACACCTCAAGAATAACAGTTGGTGCCCCTGAATCATAGCAGCAGAAGAAGGATGAGAAACGATGTGAAAATAGTGAATTAAACTCGACTTTGTTTCATCCATTTCAGAAACAGATCTAATGATGATGCAAAATCAGCAGTCGGGCGATTAGAGAATAATTGTGACGGATCTAAACCAAACTAGATGAAGCTTTGATGCTTAGCAGGTCTGCAAATCAGGAATGAAGCTGAAATCGTGTCTCAAATGACAGAAAACTAACCGATTAGCTTCCTTTTTCACTGTTTCCAGCATCGATTCCCTCTCTGGCTCTGATAGCAAAATAAATATCTACAAATTCTGAGTGTTTTTCAGACAAAACGATTAACATGAGGGGATCGTTTTTTACAGTTTCCTGACTTTTTATGCACTGTGTGATCGTCATCAGCAGATTAATTGGTGAAACTAATTGCTGCATTAGGAGTCCTGCACAATAATCATCTCTGATAATCAGTTAATCTGTCATGTTAGCAGTCAACCATGTAGTTGCTAAAGCGAGAAAATTGTAAAATATACCAATCACAACAGACTTCGCAGCATAAAACACAGAAAAGCAGAAACTTTTTGAGAAGTCAGAATCAGCGGGTGGTTTCCATCTGTGCTTGATACGTGACTTCTCATTCATGAGTCATCCATCTTGGTGTCAATTTCTGGTCATCGATCAGTCGGTTATTCCGCTAATTGTTTGAGTACTAAATGTGTTTTAACTGCAAGTCATCAAAACAAGTTCAGATGTAAAGCAGACGAACATTTAACACATTTTATTCACATGATAACGTCACATCACAGTTGGATGACCGGTGATTTACTCATTTAAAAACAAAGATATTAACAACTTTCCTTCTTCCTGTCCTTCTCCTCTCTCCTCCCTCGGCTCCAGTGAAGCCCGTGTCCCGGCCGGCTCGCGCCCAACACATCTGTGCCATCTGCAACAAGCAGTTCAAGAACAACTACAACCTGCGGCGGCACCAGTCGGTCCACACTGGGGTACGCATGAAGGACAGGGCCAGAGAGCAGGCGGAGGGAGCGAAGGAGGGAGCAGCCGGCCAGGTGGTGGCGGCGGCGGCGGTCCCGTCGGTGATGGCGGTGGGGGTCGGAGGGAGGGCGGAGAGGCCCACTGTTCCCCTCTCCCTGCTGCACCTCTCCGCGCCTCCCCCTCTCGCCCCTCCCGGCCTGCTGGCGGGCGCCCAGCAGCCTCCCCTGGGTGCTCAGGATGGTGAAGGGGTTGCCATGCCAAACGTAATGGCTAGTGTTAACCCTCATGCTCCGCCTCCTGCTGCTGTCGTCATGGCCACAGGGGCGACAGTACAGGTGGGTCAGGGCCTTGTGGAGATGGCTGTCGTCAACCCCAAACCTTCAAGCATGTTGTTTCTTAAGCTGCCTGGCCCCGGGGATGGTTAAGCCATCGTCTCCTACTGTTTGGGACTCAGCAAACAGTTGGGTTTTATTTGTGTCACCTGCTTCATATCTGACTGAAACTGCCCCCCCACCGGTGTGTTCAACTTTATGAGGAGTCCATGAGCTCTAATCGGTTCAGGGACCAGTAAACCGGTCCCCAGTTTGAGAAACACTGTGCTAGAAGTCCCCCCCCCACCCCCCACACGCTCCTCTGCATGTTCTCTGTAACACAACCGGCGTGAAAGCAGATAAAGAAATAATTCATCTAACCGTCATGACATGCAGCTTGGTACAAATCATACTAATCAGTTACTGAATGAGTACAATCTCTGTGTATTTGCATGGTTTCTACAGTGGATACAGTTTCTCTGTCTGTGTAGCAGTGGATCTACACGTCTCATCTAAACTCTGGAGTGTGTTTGTCTGCTTGTCTGTTTTTGCCTCAGCGGCCCACAAATCCCAACCCCAACCCGGTGAGGAAGAACCACGCCTGCGAGACATGTGGAAAGGCCTTCCGAGACGTCTACCATCTGAACCGCCACCGCCTGTCCCACTCGGACGAGAAGCCTTTCTCCTGCCCCATCTGCCAGCAGCGCTTCAAGAGGAAGGACCGCATGAGCCACCACGTCCGCTCCCACCAGGGCGGCGTGGAAAAACCCTACATCTGCCCCCACTGTGGCAAGGCTTTCTCCAGGTGAACAGTGGAGTCGGGCATCTTTTATTGGGACTGTCTTAAAGTTGCAGGCATCTTATGAAACCCTTTGAACTCTAAGCAATCAACGTCCTGCACCTCCATGGAAACAGCTAGAAGCTGATTATTTATTTAAACTAAACAAATGGAATCCATGTTTACAACAAGTGCCATTAGGGGTTACCAACACTGAACAAAGTAATGATGACGCTGCAGACTGTAGATGTTTACCTACTTAGATTTCTAATTTGTTTCCAAACTATATCCGTCTTCTTGGTGTAAACACAGCCTGCACGTCAGCCTAAAAGTCCCTACAGTTTTATCTCAGAGTTGGTCACAGCCGACCTACTGATTGTTTGACAGTTGTGCAAAGAAATACAGATTTAAAAAAAAAATGTTTTACACAAATATAATACACAATATGACAATTTTCAGCTTAGATTTTGTTAACGTGTTTAATGGAGCAGGGCGTCACAAATGTGTAGTTCAAGGAACGTCAGGAAAAAAACAGATAACATCCTTCTGAAACCTGCTTTTAGGTTGAGTGTCAGAGCTCACGCTGCCTTTACAAACAATGATTTATACAGATTTGTGTAACTTCAAGGAATCTTTACGCTCCTTAGTTTTCCAAGGTAAAACAAATAAAATATATTTCACCATAACTTCATACATTCTGTATGTTAGCAAACAGAATTTCTTTATTGTTGGGATAAAGTTGGGCTAGCTGTTTAGCCCTGTTTCCAGTCTTTATGCTAACCTAAGCTAAGTGGCTACTTGCCTTCGATTTACATCAGTCCTGTCAAATTCCTGCAAATAGGTTTTTCTTCTCAGAGCTATTTAAGAATTTTAAATGAAAAACATTAAGCTGAAATTTTATTTTCGATACTTGTTTCACCTTTAAAACAGACATGTGAAGAAAATAGCGCACTTCTGTACCAAACATTTTCAAACAAGTCGACAGCACAAAACATAATTGAATAAGCATCCGTTTTTGCTATCAGTCCTCATAAATACAACTTTTTTCTTGTTATTTTACACAAACATGAACCTGTGATTGACATATGCAGCGTTACCCGCTCTGACATCTTCACCTGTCTTTCTGTTCTCAGGCCCGACCATCTGAACAGTCACGTCCGACAGGTGCACTCCTCGGAGCGACCCTTCAAATGCCCCGTACGTCGTGTCTGCTTTGTTCAGCTGCACACAGCATGTTCTTTTCTTTATTCGTGCAGTCACTAAAGCATGTTTATGTGCACAGCGTTCCACATGACTCAAGGTCAACGACTCGCACTTTATCTGCATCTTCAGCGGCCTCACACAGATATCTGCTGAGTAAATGAGCATTGAGGGTATTGCCATGGAAACAGATCCGGATCCAGTACATTTCTATTTGAATCGGAGAACACGCAGTCGGTAGCTGTAATTGTTGTGCGCTGCACTGTAATTGTCATGTTTACTTGCAGCATCCCAGAGCTAGATGTTTACACAAGCAAGACAAACATGCTTTATCACACACTGTACGCCGTGTGTGTGTGTGTGTGTGTGTGTGTGTGTACATATGTAAAACAGAACATATGTGAGGTTGTTTTCCACAGAGAGCCAGAACATTGGCTGATGTTACTTGGCAGGATTGATGTTGTGAGATGACACAAGGTGATAGAAAATTAAAGACATCTGTCACATTCATATTGAATCGCTTTCTTGCACACAAACAAACACACACAACTGAGAACCTAGAATAATCCTACAAACTGTTTCTCTGCTCACACAGCTCAGTTTTTCTGTATGAACTGATGATTCTATGGTATCTAAAACTGTCTAAAATTAAGACCTTTTTAGATTAAACGTTAACTCCTATAACCCCAGTGTGCACAGGACTTTACATTTATGTTTTTTTTCTCTGTATTCACACGTTTTCTTTTTTCAGACCTGTGAGTCCAGCTTTGCTACGAAGGATCGCTTGCGTGCACACATGATTCGCCACGAAGAGAAGGTCCCCTGCCACATCTGCGGGAAGCTCCTGTCCGCTGCTTACATCACAGATCACATGAGGGTGCACAACCAGTCGCAGCATCACGCCTGCCACCTCTGTAACCGCAGTAAGTGCACATTCTTTTATTCACTGGTTTACACTGAGTGCGTATGAATTATGTGCTGAACCGAGCGTCTCATGACTTAACCCTCTGAACCCCAGGCATTTTCTATTCCTGTCATATTTTTCGTCACTGTGGGCTAATTTTTCACTGCAACATAAAGTCCTGCACCTCTGTGGAAACAGCACAACCATGACTAAAAGTAGAGCGAGTTCAAAAATACCATAAATCGTAAAAGCAGAAAAAAGTAAAGTTAGATTTTTCTTCATTAATTGTTTTAGAAAAGTAGAAAAACCCTGGAATTATCATAAATAACATTATTTCCAAATGCCACTGATGCTACAAATACTGGGAAAAAATTGTGATATATATATAGTTTTATTTTACATTTGTATTTGTTTCCATACTTATCTCCTCTCTGCTCAGTGTACATACTGCCTGCAGTCCAGCCAAAAACAACCCAGAAACTTTGCCACATGATTGTTGGTTACAGTTAAGTCACCAGTGACCTCCTGGTTGTGCTGAGGAGTGCAGAGTTTTTTGTTTTTCACAGAATCTGATTAGAGCAAACGGGTTATTTTTGGCAGAATTTAAAATGAAACATCTTTGAAAAAAAGTGAAAGATCACAATTTTAAATTTAGATGTGATCATGTTTCACAGATAAGCAGGACTGTGAAAAAGTAAAAAAAAGTCCAAAGTTTAAATAGTTTCTGGCTGTGATACGTTGTGCAATTTGGAAGATAAAAAAAACAAGATAACATTCCTTTCAAAGCCACTGGTGAGTTTTGGGATTCAGACGGTTAAGGGTGAACCACAGCGTCCACAGTGTCCACAGTCCAAAGGCCAACTGGGAGCGGCGGCTGCACCTCCAGCTCACTTTTGCAACTCGGTTTTCTGTCGTCTCTCTATTGGCAGAGTAGAAAGACACACAATACCCGACAAAGGAGTGAAACAAAAATCAAAACACCGTGTTCAGTCTGTTATTTCACTCTTTTGTCACTTTATGTGAAAGAGGAAGGTCACTGAACTCTTCAAGCTGTAATTTGACACTTTATGAGCAGAAAGTCTGGAAACAGGAGGAAACGTCTTGTTCTGTCCAAAAGTAATTAAATCCACCAAGCAGCACCTTTAAAGCTCTAAAAACATGAAGCGGACTAGTTCTCAGCTGAGAGCAGCAATTTCTTAAAGTCACTGCTGCTTCCAGAGCTGTCCTTTTTATATTTTAGTTTTTGTTTGCATTCAGTAAATGAGATTTAAAGGTGCTTGTATGGGGATTTTTTAAACTTTCTGATTCCAGTTTAACCAATTATTGGATCTGATATTCAGCATCTTTGTTTAGCAGCTATTTTTTTAAACCGATTCATGACAAAATAATTTTTTAAAAGCGATACTCAGGCTTGGATGCAGCCGCCTCTCTCTACCAAAACCCCGCCCACAGCCTCGTCTGATTGGTTACAATTAACCAATCAGCACTGTAGAATAAATACTGAAAAGTTCTCTTGGATTTGAATATATGTAAAACAAAAATAAACGAAGGCATTTCTGTTTTGGAGTTTGTGTTCGTCTTGAATTAGATTTTCATTTGTTAACATGTATTAGTTCCAAATATTGATTATTGGTGTCCTTGATTATCAGCCCTAAAAATACATAAATGTATACTTCAGATGAAGCTGTTGTTTTAACCTGTTTGTAGTTTTTATGCTAAGCTAAGCTAATCAGCTCTTAACTGAATATTTCAATGTCAATCTTCTCATTTAAGCCTCGACAAGAAAGTGAAGAATCATAACATAAAAATTAGATGATAATTAACATTCTGAGATTTTATTCTTATCCTTTAGAAATCAATACTTGTGACTTTATCATCTGTTTTTCTGCTTACATCATGTTTGGACTGTGTTCTTTGCATATGTAACATCAGACTTCCATTTCCCACTTCCTGTTTAATCGATTCGCTGCATTCTTTCAGATGTGCTGATATCTTGCTGTGTCTGGCAGCTGCTGAACTTTTGCTGTGACATCTAAACGTCTCAGTGGAATAACTCGCGGCTCTCCTCTCATCCATCAGGCTTCACCACACTGACATACCTTCGTGTTCATGCCCAGAAGCACCACGGCCAAGAGTGGAAGGACAGTCCGGGCGGCTTCGGCGGCACAGCCTCCGGCGGCGTTCTTGTCTGCCACTTGTGTGGCGTCCACTGCAAGACGCCCACCCAGCTGCAGGGCCACATGGGCACCCACACCAACAGCCAGGCCGCCCCGAGCCCCATCACCTCCAACGTGGCCGCCAGCAGCTCCGTCTCCCTTAGCAACATGGTGACCGCGCCCACCGTCTATGTCACCGGCAACACGGTGGTGGACCTGCTGGTCACGGACTGCTCTAGCATCGCGGCGCCGCAGCAACACAGTTAGCAGTTAGACAGCTTAGCAGTGATAACCTCAGTCCCTTAGCAGAGGGCAAGGTTAGAGAAGGTTGCAGTTACTCGTAGATGCTGATCCGGTTTCAGTTTTGTCACTTATAGGTATAGGATTAAGGATTGGGGGGGGAGGAGATTAGTCGACGGCAGTTTCACCTCAGAGCACCACGGGGAAAAGGCGGAAAGTTAACAAAGGACTGAGAAGACGAACTGGCTGCAGCAGGTTCACTGACACTAACGACAAACATGGATGTGCTGTCCGGATATTCCTGAATGCTCTCGTGCATTTAAGACTCCAATGAAACTGTGGTATTGTGGGCATCTACTGTATTACTCTCCCCTCTCTGCCCTCCCTCCCTCTCTGTCCCTCCCTTAAAACCCTGGCATTGGCTGCTCTCTGCAAGTGCACCAAGTACTGTATATCTCACACCAGCTCTGATCTTACCTCCATTTTGCAACTCACTTACTGAGAATCCAAATGGCTTGCGTTACAAAGTAGCAGGGAGAGAGAGTAGCTCTCGGTTAAAAACAAGTAAAAGAAAAAAAAAAAAAACAACAAAAAAAAGTACATTAGACGGGATGTTGTGTGTTTGAGTGTGCGTAAGTCTGGGCTCCTCTCGCATGTTAGCTTGTTTGTTCACTAAATTTAAGATCAACATTTGATTTCGAAGCCGTAACGCTAGTTTATTAAGTCTCTAACTTGTGGGATGTTCATAGATCAGGACAGAAGATCATACTCGCTGTGGTCGGTATTGAAAACGTGGGATGTATTCGTTCATTTGTTTCCTAAAGGTACAAGAGGTAAAGAAGAGAGTTTCAGGAGCGTCAAGCACCTTAAAAATTGCTATTGGTGGATTCAGTAAGGATCAAAATGGGTTTGAGATTTCTTGGATTTTTCTTGCTCTGAGTCTTCCTCTCTGGGTCTGGCCTTTAAAAAAAAAAAAAAGAAGAAGAAGAAACAACTGCTAATCAACACTTCAGCTTGTGACATAGCAATTGTTGCACCTGAGAACTACCTTTTGCATGAAAAAAAATAAAAAAACAAGCTAGCTCAGTCATGCTTATTGTTAGGGAGCAGTCATGACAAAAGAAACTTTCAGCAGCTCCACTAAGTTAGTCGGCTGTAAACAATAATATTTATGAAAGTGTTGATTTTATTCAGAACATTTTTAAACATTGTTGGCCATTCATTTGATTGTAACCTGTCATTGCCATAGTCCTTCTTTTTTTTTTTTTGTTTTGTTGTTTTCTCTACGTACCAGTCCAATGAGTGAAACTTATGCATTAGATTTAGTCGTTTTAACTCTCTGTATAGCACATAACGTTTTGAACGCAAGTCATTTATCGTTCTCCATTAATCATGTGAAGAATGGTCACGTGTCCGTCGGATACTTTGGTTGCTTTGAGTTTAATCGTGAGTGATGTGCGTGGTGTCGGAAGGGCTCCTAAAGTCACAAGTCAGGAGTCCAACGGGGGTCCGACGACACCGCTCGGTATGCTGTAAACAAATCCTGGTTTTGTACTGGAGTGCTTTTCTTTTTTCTTCTTCCAGTTTTGTGTTGATATGTTACCTTGAGATTTGTAGACTTGTTTCTTTCTTTCTTCCTTTTTTTTTTCTTTTTCTTTTTCTTTCTTTGGAAAATGTGTTCTTCCTGTTGAGAAAATTAGTGATTTATTACGAGTTAATTTGAGCTTTTCTCCATCACACTAAGAAAAAAATAATACCTCTACTCTAGGATTCTGTACAGCTCTTGTGATACATCTTAATGCCTTATCGTACTCAACTGCATTTTAATTCTTTTATGATAAAATATTTCAAATCTTAGTCATGGATTCATTAAGAATATTAATGGGATGTATTTATATTTATATTTTTATATTTCTCAACAGTATGCATGTCTAAAAGGTTGTTAGAGCAAAAAAAAAAAAAAAATCAATGATGCTTACTACAGTCATAAATATTCTGTTATTTTGTAGATGAAGTAGAGATCATGTTATTATTTTGTAATTTGGACAATTTAAAGTAAAAAGAGTAAACGGGCATTGTTTTGTGTGCTGATCATTTCAGTTGCTTTGACGGATACTTAAAGAGGAGTTTTGTTTTTTTTTGTTTTGAATTCACAAGCAAAAAACACGAGCATATCACAGACTGCAACATGCAAAGGGCGACGAAGGGAATCCATAAATGGGTAACACAAAAAAGTAATAAAACTATATTTGCTTTTATGCCACAGTTTCTTTTTTGCCACGTGCACGACTCCATGTGTTTGGTCTGGACAACCGTTTACAGTCGTTGTCGTCCAGCTAGAGGTCAAAACGTCACACGGCTATTTATCTGGTCGTTGATTTGTTCCCTAAAAACTCACCAATGTGCATTAAAGTTACATATTTAGACATTTTTCACTAAACCCCTCCTGAGCACATCGGCTCACTCATGACTCAAACACTGTAAAACGACTCAAGTTATAGTATTGGAGTAATTAAACACGTTTGACCTGGAAACTGATTCTAAAGACGAACTAAAACATCCATCCATTATCTATACACCACTTAATCCTCACTAGGGTCCTGGGGGGGCTGGAGTCTATCCCAGCTGACTCAGGGTGAAGGCAGGGACACCCTGGACAGGTCACCAGTCTATCACAGGGCTACACTTAGAGACAGACAACCAAGCACACTCACATTCACACCTACGGACAATTTAGAATCACCAATTAACCTCAACATGTTTTTGGACTGTGTGGGAGGAAGCTGGAGAACCCAGAGAGAACCCACACTGCACGGGGAGAACATGGAGACTCCACGCAGAAAGATCCCGGGTGTCCTCACCAGGACACAAACCAGCGATCTTCTTGCTGCGAAGCAATGGTGCTAACCACCGAGTCACCTTGCAGTCCAGAACTAAAACATTTCTAAAAAAGAAAAACTTTGAGTCTGCCAATGCAGCTTCTGCTGGTTGACATGTCCTCCTATAATCACATACAAGGTCTAAAGGCAGCACATGTCACCAAACCTGATCTGTACCCTTTAAAAACCTTTAACTTTGAAAGTGTAGCATACTTCACAGAAATGCTGTTGACTCCTTGTAAATACAAGTGTGTCTCGTGGGCTATGAAATGCAGACTGTTTTAAAAAATGTAAAACTAATTCAATTAAAAATTCATACAGCAGAGCTGCTGACTAAGCTCTGCTAATGGATATGGACTCCTATTTTGAAAGTGACCTCACACATACAAATGGTTTGTCCATCAATAATGTGTGAGAGAGACAGAAACAGCAGCATAGTGATGAGAGGTCACTGTTCCAACTTGTAACATTAATATGAATTAAAAAACTCAGTGGATCTGCAATTACTGCTGATTTTTTTCTTGATTTCTTTTTTTTTTTTACAAGTGATGCAGAAATGACAGCAAACAAAACCTTTCTGTATCAACATGAGATCCAAGAAAAGTACATTTACAAAAACTCCAATGTCTCCATTTGAAAGAGCTAAATTCTGTCAATACAAGAACTTAAAGCTTCTTCTGCAAACCACGATGTCCGGTTCTTAAGTGCAAAAACACCTTTTAATTCAGGTTCTGTTGATCTGACATATGTCTGGACATCAGCAATGTCTTTTGATGTACAGAAGCAAAAGAAAACGGCACCGGTACCCATCATCCATCTGTAACTAATCACCAGATAATGAGGCTATAAGCACCACAACTAAACTCTATTCAACCCCAAATCATTTCTTCCATCAAACGACTTCACCCTTGACCGTCGGTTTCTCAGCTGATTCTAGTCAAACATGTGTATTCTAACAGTAAAGATGTTCAGCATGTAGAAAGCTCTCCTGCAGGACTAGTTTGACCTCCAGCTGAGCAGCTCCCTCTTAGAAGTTATGTTTAAGAGACTTATGCGTTTCACAGCATAAACACGAGGTAGAGCAGGATCTGATTGTGGTTTGTCAGTACTTTGTATGCGTCTCCACAGTTCAAAACCAGGCTCATCCTGGCAGAACACAATTTGAAGACAATCTCTCTCAAGGAGACCAAAGCAGCAGATGACTCCTGATTGTCTTGATGCTGCCGGACGAAAACCACGGAGGAATCTATAAGAATCAACCTGAGGAATAGTAATAAGTGTGCGTCAATGCTTCGGCATCTGCACGATTAATAACCACACAGAAAGCCTCACCAGACAACCTTGACAGGATTTATAGTTATTTCACATATGAAAATCCACTGGTGTTGAGAAAGTGGGAATTTTAACAAGGTAAAAACAAGAAGTAGGTTTTCACCAGAGCAGATCTTTAATTGTTATCATTTTAACACAAAACACGTGCTTAAGTAAAGCAGAATTCCTCCTGGTGGTTTATTTCTGGATGTATCATGAATTCCTGCTGCCCGTCATTAATAAATAATCAGCTCACTATGTGCTGTGATTAGTGAGTGCTCGCTGTGTTACGTGTCGCCACACAATTAGACACAAAAGCCATTTCAGAGCTCACATTTTCCTCTAAATGTGAAACAGCTTTTAGTGACAAATCACATTTTTTCCACACACATCACATCCCTGACAGCTTTACAATCAAGTGTTCTCTCTCATTTCCTTACAGTGAAGGCTGTTGATGTAAATTAGGCACGTCTGTCCTTCACCCCCGGCTTGTCAGTCGCCACCTGCAAGATGTTTTTATTCCTCCACGCTGTGGCCAGCTGTGGCCAGAGGCGTCATGTGTTCAGGCTGCCGTCCATCTCCTACATGGACACAAGACCTCTTGGAGGGAATTTCTTAAAATATAGCACAAACATTCACACAGACTCCAGGATATAAGGCTTAGAGTTTTATTATAAAAAACACATTTAACTTGATAAATCACATGCTAATTATAACTAATTCTCACAGAAGTGTCTGGAAAAAACAGATACAGTCGTCCTCTAATGTATTCACACCCTCCCATGTCACTGAAATAAGATGAATTGACAAAAGTAATAATAAATAAACATTTAATGAAAATCATGACCCTTTGAGCCAATCACTGCAACCAAGTGTTTTCTGTGACTCTCAGTCAGACTTCTGCACCTGTTGACAGCTATGGCCCACTGCTCATCAGCAAAGTGCTCTAATTTGTCCCAGAGTTTTTGTTTTTAAAAATTAAATTATTCTTTTCAACCACAATTCAAAAGCAATGTCTTATTTCACTAAATTATAATTTAGCAAATTTTTATTTATTATTACTTTTTTCAGGTTCTAGTTATTTGCTGTGAATTTTGCCTTTTCTTTAATGGAAGGTTATGAATACATGTGAGGACGACTGTATGTGATGATGCTTTATATCCAAAAGGCCAAATCTGGACAAACGTGGATCTAAACTGCACCTTCATCAGTTGGTGGAAGCGTTCAGACACGAGCTGGAAGCTGCGGTTGGTTTCAGGACGCTGCTCTTTGCTGTGCCGCTTCCCAACCCTTTAACTAAAAACATAATGAAACATGCACCACGCCCCGGCTTGTAAATGTGACATCAACAAAGACAGCTGGGTCGTGCAGCAACACGTCCACGTTTGCAGCTTGACTTAAAAAAACAGCTGCATGTTTCTATCAGAACAAGTGCTGCTCAGTTTTCGTAGAAGCTGTGAAAAACCTTTTTAACTTATAGAACCACTTCCACATTCACAGGAGTCTGTGCAACATCTAGATCTTCTACATGGAGGAATATCAACAGTGCTTCTGTACATTTCTTGTTTACTTCTTTTTTTACTGAAATGACATTTTTTCTATTTGACAGAATTTCAGGAAATACAAAAAAGAATAAATACATTTAAAAAATGAAGAAACACCACTGAAGTTAATGAAACAAGAACCGCCTGATAGAAGCTGATGGACTGGAACTTGCTATTCGAGGAATGTTGACTGCAGAACCTGTTGCTTTGAGGATCCAGTACAGGTGTCCTCTTTTTTTAAAAACACATCTTGCTGAAATCACCCAAAGTGAACCCCGACCATGCAGCAGAAATAGACTGCAAAGGAATCTGGAAACAAACACATGCTATGCGTTTGATGAAAGACACGACGCTCCTGCTGTTTCTTCACTTGACAGTCGGCTGTAGTGGAAGCTGGAGACAGGTTCACACACACTGGTGAAAGTCATTCTGGGAAACAAAGGAAAACCCAAATACAATATAAGTCACTGATATCATTTTAGGTAATAAAGCTGCACCACAACCAGGTAAACTATTTGTTACAAAGCTCGGTGGATTCTAGTTTCTTTTTTTTCTGGTATTTTAGTGACTCATGTTTCTACCCTCCACATCACGGCTGCATGTCTGCTGACTGGAACATCACACATCATGTTTTCCTGAACACTGGTTTGACTTCTGCTCTGCACGTTTGCTTTTCTGTAGTTTAAAATATTTCTATGCTCTGTTCAGCTTTGATAGGACACATTTATTAAAGCAGTAATTAACAGTTTTATTAATAAATGCTTTTCATGCCAGTTATAAGACATGAATAGGAAGCACTTTGAAGTTGTCAGAAACTTGCTCGGACTTCCTCTTGCTTTTCTTTTGATCTCTATCATTTATTGTGGGTTATATCGTTGATAACCTGAATAGAAAACTGCTTTTTAATTGTTTTGTCCTGCCTGCATGTATCCCTGTGGAGCTACAAGTTTCTGATTTGGAGTTGCTGACCTTATGGCCTCTCCAGCGGTTACTGTTCTCTTACTTATTGGTTGTTTTGTCTCTCCTCTATCCTCATCCTCCTTCAGCCTGGCTCTGGACGTTCCTTCCTGTTGCCCCAGAGCTTGTTTCAAGGGAAACTTATGATTTCTTTGGTTTGTCTTTATAATTTAGAATTTTTACCTTTCTATGTAAAGTATCCTAAAGTGACTTTTGTTGCACATTGGCACTCTATAAATCAAACTGAATGGATTATTTCCCTCCAGTTTATTTAGTTCCACAAGTATCACATACAACTATCATCTATATGAGCCCTGTGTGCGTGTTACATGTGTGAGTTCATGTCCCTGACCTACATACGCTTTGAGCAAACTATTAGACGTGGTCACAGGATGGTGCATAAATGATGTATTATCACTAACTAAAAGGAGAAACTGTCCTGACTGATGTTCCAGATCTCTCCATTAAAACAGTACAAGACTGTGTTACAGTTTGAATGTGGCCTCAAAAGGCGACGCCAGGTTATCTCTGCAAAGCCTGAACAAAGTTGCATTGATTGTCCTGTAATCTGCAAGCTTCTGTGTCAAGCTGCCAAATGTCAGGACGTGATCATCCCGAGCATGTGTGATAAGGAGCAGCTCAGGTCCAGTTAATTGATTCGTTTATTTGCTCAATAGCACGGGATTTCTTTACCGACACAAAGGGCATTATTGAGCAGGCATGCTTAAGGCTGTCCTAATTATTTTCAGATCTGTGATGATTTTGTGAATTAAACACATAAACGCTGGGTCCTGCTGTGTTCAATGTTTTTTTTCTTTTCTGAGTGGACAGATTGGATATTGCAGGAATAGATGGCCTCCTTATGTGGGATCCATTCAGCGTTTTCCCTGCATACAAAACAACAATTTACAATTTTCCAAAATGCAGCGCTGTGACTGGTGCAGATTTCTCGTCATGACATGAGCTGCTGCTGCCTGGACCTGTAGGAACTAGCTGGCGCAGCAGTCCTCAGTGTTGAGTCAACGTTGCATCTGGGAGGCTGAGGCAGCGGCATCTCTGCTCTGCTGTGGATGACATGACATAGCGGACCGGAGCAGCTAGCGTTACCTTGACACCTGGACCGCATCGTGTCGTTGTCTTTGCGTCGGTGCAACTTGTGTTAATTAAGATCACGCTTTTTTTTTTTGGCTTGAGCGGGCTAGATCGCACGCTAGTCACCAATGCTCTCAGTGAGCTGCCCTCACACTGATTTTGATCTAAGTTGCTGCAAGCTAGCGTTAGCTCGCTGCTGCTACCCTTCAGACATTGAAGTGGCCACATAAACATGCGGATCATCGAGGCGGAGACCCCTGGGATATCTCTAAACGCTTTCTGCAGGACACGACTTTCGACTGGCCGCTGACCGGACTCTGCAGAGTCACTGTGTAAATGCTGCATACGATTTTTTCCTTCTGCTCTAAACATGTGTAAACTCCAATCTGTTAGCCGTGGTTAGCGTTGACGGGGGTCGGTTAGCTTAGCCGCTACTGCTACAAACAAATAAGAAGCTAACAAAACAGTTTAATGTCTTCATGAATGAGCAACAAAACGTGTACGGAGACACATTCGGTTGTTAGTCGTAGTGTTTAGGTGTCACCATCTTGCTAACTGTAGTTGTTTGAATTTGGTTTAAGCGAAATGGTTGCTAACTAAGCCAGCGGTGACCAACTGCCGTGGCTACATTTTTGGGGGAGATGCTAATGGTTAGCTAACGTTCGTAGCGTCATTGTTAGCAGGCGGTCGAGCAGCGCAGACAGTTGGTCATGCCCACCAAGGCGAGGGATGGCATTTAATGAGAGCAATGTGGTTTTGTTCGCTGAGCTTAGACACTTGTATACCGGATGACCCAGTTTTTCTACCCAACACAGGAAAGCGACAGAGCCCGTTAAATTTGCGTTAACTTACCTGTAGCTTTCCTGTGTTAGTTAGCTTAACTAGCTGGTGCATTTGATGGAAAGCGGACTGTAAAGCTAAGTTAGTTCATGGACATTTGACATGTGTGCTGTCGGACTTCTGGTTGCGCCATTTAGCCAGACTTGCTTTAGCTAACATTAAAATGAACAGTCTCGGCTTAGGTTACGTGAGTAGCTTAATTATATGTAAGCCAACAACGGTTCTCAATTAGCTCTGTTGGTTAGCTACCCAGCACAGAACTAACCCGTTTCCCGGAGAGGTGACGCTGTTGACAGGAGCCAGAAGCACCAGCAGCTCCATGCAATGTCGATATTTTCGACGTTCGGGATTTTAAAATAGCGCAATGCGTATTTTGCTAATGGACTTCAACTTTTTAATGAGTCAGCTAGTCTAGTGTAAGCAAACTGCAAAAGCGCATGGTAGTGCCACATGGTTGGCCTGGGAATAAATGGGAACGTGAATAACGCACACAATGTCATCAGATGCACAGGGCAGCATGCTACACAAAAGGGCCTCCTATCTGATCTTCTGCTCCCAGCACTGTACTCAGCAATTATATAGTGTCCCTGCTTTCAATCCGATGCACTGTCCTCTGTCACCTTAATATAAACGCATCATCGTGTCTGTCTTTTCAATCAGGCTGGAATACTACGCTGCCACATCTGCTGGACTTTGATAGTGTTGTTATCTCAGTGAATGCATGCACAGGGGAGTTGCCTGAAGTGAGATCAATGCCAAACTGTTACTCACTCTTTGATGTTTTCTGTTTTTCAGAGAGGGGAGAGAGAGAGCGACGGATCTCAAGGACCAGATTGCCTGCTGAACTTTTTGCCTCTCAGACGGATCGCCGGGGACCATGCTGACCATCCTAGCTGCTGGGTCTGTGTTCTTTCCAGGCCTTTTCCTGCTGTCCAAACAATGCCTGAAGTCCATCCCGGCGCTGAGATGGAGCGAAGGGGATGCAGTTATTGTATCAGCCAGGTTAGACCCAATAAGAACGGTTACTTTTCTGTTGTTATACATGCAGACATGTCCTGTATGTTGAAAAACTCTGTTGAATTTCTCTAGACATTGCTCTACCAAAGTGATGCTTTAACTGAAGTGCCTTCCGACTTGTGCAGCTTATTGCAGGACTCTGAATTATATCGGGTGGTTGTGGCTGTAGCTGTGTAGTTTTTAACAACTATTTCCAGCTGTATTCCTTCTGTGTAAAATCTCAAGGGCGCTGCTTTTTTACAGTGTGTCAGCTGGACAGCCTAAACTTTTTGTCTCATCAGTAACACATTGTGTGCTATGGACTTGTCACATCTCCTCCCAGATTGGTGTCTTCAGTTCAGGCAGTCATGGCTTCCTCAGCTGGCTACATCATTGCTTCCTCCTGTGAAGACATCATCGAGGACCAGTAAGTCGAGAAATGCGTCTTTCAAATGTTGAATGAGTTACAGCCCGTCCTGTCTTTTAACGCGTACAGCAAGTAAGCTGACGTAATTTACAATTTCTAGGTTATGTGATGCACCATGCAAGTGCACTCTGGCATTTGGATTTCTTGTCGTACGCCTGCTAAATTTAAATGCGAAGAGAAATATAAATTTGACACTGATGCCTTGACACGTAGCCTTAAATGTCAGGGGCTTTGTAAGAGCTGAGAAGTAGGTTTTAATTCATCTCTTCCTTAAGTTTTTCTTCTTCTTAAAACTGCCCCGAGCATTTAATCTCTTTATTTTAGAAGGTTGTTCAGGTGAGTTGGGTTCCATTGAGATTTTTCTGGATTGCAGAAGGGACAAGCTGTTCTTTATTGGGGCTGTCACTGCGCTGGCTTTTGTACCTACTGTATAGCAAATAGAGTTTTAGCTACGACTTGGCAGGCGAAGTTATGTTCTGGCTGTTAACAAAGCTCTGTTTGAGTAAATTCTCCTCACGCCGTTTAATTAAAATCTATTCCCTATTCCCTTTCTCATTCTTAAAGCCAGCTTCTCTTTCTTTCTACACAGGCACTGGCTCACTAGCACTTACATCATGTTTGCCGTTCCCTACTTCGTGTACGACATCTACGCAATGTTCATGTGCTACTGGTACAAGCTGCGGGTCAAAGGGCACGAGGAGGCCTCAGCGGCACCCCAGCACATGAGCTCGGCGCTGACCAGCTACTTGCGTCGCGAGTTCCTCATGGTGCTGCACCACGTTGTCATGGTCACCGTCTGCTTCCCCGTCTCTGTGGTAACTGTCATACGTTGCTCTTTCTGTTGAGCTGAGATGTGATTGAGACAAGTAAAATATAGCATTGAAATTTCTACCAGCAACTCCCTGCATTTGGGTGTTTTGTCACGTCTACGGGGACGTGGAGGTTAAAGGGACATTTCACCTTTAGAAAAAAAAACATCCAGACAAAGTAAATACATGCTTTTGTGTCTCACTGTGTGAAGGATGGTGCAGCTAACCTTGTATTAAAACATCATCTTAAAAGCTCAGAAATTATTGTAGGACACATTTCTGTAACAGCTTGTACACATTAGCCTTGTAGCTACACTTTGCTCAATATATTTTTAAGCACAAATGTATTTAAAAGGTAGATTCTACATTATGTTACAGTAATTCCATCTTTAGGGCTCCAGATAATTTATTATTCTACATTTTCTTTCTACTTCACTGTTTAGACAAAGACACAAATTGATTTATTTTCAGAATAAGTGCTGCTTAATTTTCTGTTAGTTAACTCATCAGCGCAGCTTTAATTAGTATTTATGAGCTGTGGAAGTGCTTTAAAGCCATGTGTGCATATTATGGTTTAATACCACTATATAATTTTATTTTATGTCAACTAATTAAAGCATTCACCCAGTTTTGGAGAGTTTTGAACAGTATATTACATCTTTTTTAGAGAGAACTTCCTACTTGATGCCATAGACAGAAGTTTATTAGACTCACTCTTCACCAGTGCATTAAAATAGTTTGTAGAGTCATTAAAACACCATCCACATGTTTGGGAGGGAAAGTACAAATTAAAACATCTTTTACTTCTCCAGCTCAACATTTACTTACATATGAGTATTTACTAAGCTGTTGTTGCTTTCCAGACAAATAACAATCCTCTTTTTGTCTCTCTGTAGTTTTGGCGACAAGGAAAGGGAGATTATTTCCAGGGTATAATGTTCATGGCTGAGCTCAGCACTCCATCTGTCTGCTTAGGAAAAATCCTCATCCAGGTAAGTGTCTCGGTTAAATCTGAAAGAAGATTTTCAAGTGCATCGTTGCATGTGCATGTGTCACACTAAAGTTCTTCTGCACTCTCCACTTTTTTTTTTTTTTCTCTCTCTCTCTCCCTTTTAATTCATCGGAGAATATATTTTCGGTCACTCCCAGCATGCAGCTTGTTCATGCCCTTCGGCTGCTGTCAGCTGTGTCTTACATGAACAGCACTGTCAGAAACATCAGTCTTTAATTGGTAACACCGTTTGCTTGAATACACATCGTAGGAGTTGCATCCCCGTGCATTTGAGTCTGTGTGGATGTGTGTACAGTGTTTTAGGTTGTAGGTGAAGGCTGCTCCTCTATTGCTGCCTGCTTGTCCCCCAACTGAGGCTCCCACAGCTGTTAGCCTCTGAATATAGCCCCCTAGTATTTAGATGGGATATTCAGCAGATACAATATCACCCTGTCCTTCCACTCTATCACTGAGCACCCTGCCCCCCCCTCCTCCACCTCTCACCTCCCCATCCATGACAACAGTGCATGTGGCCATTTGATAAACAACAGAAGCTGTGGCCTCCTAGAGCTCCCCTCTTGTAGAATAAAAACCAATAACATAAAACAAAGGAGTATTTATTGATAGGATGCCATGTAATTCTAGGATGTGAGACTAGTTAACGGGGGAAAACCTTTATGAAGCAATGTGTGTGTGTGTCGTTGTGCTCGATGTTATCTCGCCGAAGCAGGCTGACTGCTCAAGATAAAACTTTAGCTTTAAGCAAATGTATAAGCAGACGGCTGCAGCGACACACACAATGTGCGGAAATCAACCAGTGTCCAAGCAGCAGCATGTCACGCTGTGCCCTGCACCAGCACTCCTTCAGTCCGTGCAGATAGCATTAACACGTGTAACAACATTAACAATATAACAATGGCAAAGAAGATTAACATCGTCGGCTTTCACCAAACTGTACTGCTTGCTTTTCTTTCTCCCTCTCTCTGTTGTTTTTTTTTCTGCTCTCAGTACAAACAGCAACACACTCTCCTGCACAAAGTGAATGGGGCTCTTATGCTGATCACTTTTTTCATCTGTCGAGTCCTACTCTTCCCTTACCTCTACTACGTCTATGGAAGGTATGTCTTTCTTTCCATTTCTTTTCTGCGGTCTCGCTGAGCTGGGGTCAGTACACAGCCACTTTATCTTTATCTTGGGTTGTGGAATTCAGCTTCAGAATGTGTGTTTACAATCCCTAATGTCTCCAGGTACGCGTCCATCCCCTTCCACATGGTCCCCCTGTCGGTGCCCTGGCACTGTAACCTCGGCGCCGCTCTGCTCATGGCGCCTCAGCTCTACTGGTTCTCCCTAATTTGCAGGGGCGCCCTGCGACTATTCATGGGCACCTCCCGCTCTCAGAGGCCGCGCTCGACCTCGGCCGCCGCTAAGGAGCGCCAGACGGATGGCAACGCACTGCCCCAGCCTGCCAACGGCTACAGCACGCGCTCCACAGAGCCCGAGCTGGCCACTCACTGAGAGGAGTGGAGTGGAGGGGAGGGTGGCGGGGAGGGAAGGAAGGCGAATGTACCAATGAGTATGTAAAGGAAAGAAAGCTATGAGGGAAAAGGCGAGACTTGAAACAAGTCGAGATGATGGCCTCAAATGTTGCTGAAGTGTTTGTGGCCAGCAAACTGCTAAATGATTTGGTGGCTGGCCTTCAAGTACTTTAGCTTTTTAGTTTGTAGGAAACAAACGGAGTGTTAGAGCACTCAGTATTTACGATGTCATCGGGCACTGTGACAGATAGGAACATGCACTGACCTGAGAGGAATTTGCCTGGATGTATAGCGAGCATAGGTGGCTATTTCCCTCATGTAGATCAAATTCAGTCCTCTCTGCCTCACGGTATAGGAAGAGCAGGAAAATAGGAATGTATTATATTGTATGTTAGTACGTTTGCTGTAGATGGAAGGCCTCATTCAGTTTAGTCATGAAGAAGACCTTCAAAAAAGAAAAAAAAATCCCGGCTAAGCAGTATTTTGACTTGTTAGTGTTTATTATCTGTATCCTCTATGTAGTCACTGTCACTCTAACAAATGTAACCAACCTGCAGACTGACTCATCTTTAGAAGGGAGATAATCTTCTCATAAGACTGTATTCTGCTGCCTTATCCCTTTTCCCCCCCATTTTTTGCAGATTCTTTACATTTTTATTTATTTTTATCCTCTAAGAAGAAGGAGGAAGCTTTCCTCAGACAGAGTCATGTGACGGTTGTACATAGCAGATGTAAAATTGTCCTTTCCATGTCAGTATTAGGCCAACGTTGATTCTTTTTTATTTTTTAGGTTTCGTCTCATTTCTGCATCTGATGTTTCTACAGACATTTTGAACAATGACAGTTCAGCATTAGGACAAAAACATTTCACAGTTTTACAGCTTAGTGTAGGCAAAACTACTCCCAGACGTTTTAACAGTGATCCTCGTTTCAGTGTAGATATATGACTTCATTCCATTTACTGGTATCACAGGTGTTTTGTTTTTTGTTTTTTTTTTTGCATACAAGGAAGTGATGCTCAGTAGCAGCCACTTTAAGCTGAACTTACACGTGTTTCTTTCTTTTTTTTTCTTTTTAGTTTGGTGCTGGTGTAAATCTCATTATTCATTTGCTTGGCAGGAACACTTCACGAAGGGATCCATGAGATTTGAGTATTTTTAGCTTTGTTAGGGGACTTGCAATGTTGAAGTTTTGAAGGGAAGCAAACGAGAAAATTAATCTTGCAGGGAAGCATTCCCTTGTGACTGACGTGCAGCACATTTGTCCACGCCGACTTCGTTTGATGTTGCTCTGTTATGTTTTTTTAAAACCATCACAAATTCAACCTTTTAACATGGTATAAAATGATCCAATCATTGAGCCGTTGATTTGAGCCACTGGTTCTATGAACCTCCTACGAACAAACTAGCTTGTTTTTATCATTTTATGTTCCTTTCAAGCAGCTACACTGTCCTGGAAATGGGTCAAGAAAAAAAAAAAAAAAACAACAAAAAAATGAAATAAACCTAAAGCATAGCTCAAAAAAACCATCAAGACAGGGTAATGTGTGCCAAAGCATCTGGACAACTGTGGGCATGTTGAACACAGAACATCCATTCCCCTGTTCCGTGAGTTCATAAGGTACTGCTTCTTGACAATACTAAAAACATTTCAACCGATGTACTGTATATTCCACAAAATGCTTGTTATTTATTTGTAAGTATTTATTTATTTATTTATTTGGTTTGTGGTTTTTGAATGCATATTTATGCATACGTATTATACTCTATGCTTCTGAGCCTTATGTGAAGGCTGTATTGTTACTCAAACTTAGCTAAAATATACTTCTCTGTCCTGAGCCTGTCTTGAGTCTTTTTTTTTTTTTTTTAAATTGAAACTTTTCAGGTTTGTTAATATTCTCTTAAATGCCACTTTTTAAAAGCAAGTAACTTAAATCAGTACATTTCTGCAGGAGGGCCAGCAGAGGGTGCCAGAATGTGTGAATTTCTGTAATACTGTAGCTCTTCATTTACTTTTAAAGTATGAAAAAGCTTTAAAAGTGGCTGTTTTACAAAGGAAATGTCACATATATAGTGAAAAAATGGAGTCAATCTCATGCCAATGCCATACGTGCATACAAAGAGATTATATTAACGTACCATAACAATAGTAGTGATAATATTGATATATGTCTGTGGGTGTATCTGGTTTTGTGTGCGTTAAATTGGGTTTTTATGCAACTTCTCCTTATATGTACGCTGCACATCCTTGTTCTTTCAACCACAAGCTTTCCCCAGCTTCACTTCACACCGATTAAAACCAAATCAGTTGACGTTCTTCAGGGTTAAAATGTTTATTGCCATCATACAAAACACACAAAAACATACAAAACTCGTTACATAAAAAATTCAAGTTTTGAGAAAGCTTCGGAAAGTTCTTGGCCTCGTTTGCCTCCGGGCACGTCAGTCCTCGTCTCTTAATACTTTAGTATCTCCTCTGTCTCGGGGAGAAGATGGTGTTGGGATTGCTGTCTCGTTCCCTCTCCTTCTCCCGCTCCTTCTGGCTGTTCGGAGAAAGGGCCTCCTCCAGCTTCTTCTCGGTCTTGAAGAGATCGCGCCCCGTTCGCATGATGTGCTCCTCGATTTTGCGGTGGCGCTGCATGTCTGACAATACTTTATCCAGCCGGGCTTCCCTCTTCACAGAGGAACGAGCTGAAGATCCTAGAAGAGAAGGACAAGCACATGTCTTTACAAAAAGTCTGCTGTGCTTTCTGAAACTTAACAGTGAAAAGAGGATAAAAGACAGAAGCCTGCCAAGTCATGTAGCTTTTGCACATCAGGAGTGCACATTTACAGATTCAAATCTCAGCGGTTGCTGTCTGTCCCACCTGGCGTTCTGCGTCTGTTGATGAAGGCATTTTTTGGAGTGGTTTGCATTTGCTCCTCATCGAAGTCAAACTCAGTTGGAGTTGGAGGCCTGAAAAAAACCAAGATTGTTCAGATCAATGGCAAACCTAAATTAGAAACTAACAGTAAACTAACTTAGAAATAAAACGACTGAGAGTAAAAACCAACACCGACTTGCGATCTCTCTCCAGCCTGTCCCGTTCCTTTGCCGCGTCGTCCTCCTCGTCTCTCTCAGGCGAAGGCGTGCGTTCAGGTGTTGGCGGCCGTCTAGGAAGGGGCACAAAGTTCAGTTCCAGCATCTCCCCTTTAGCCAGGAGCTCATAGAGTCTTTTGATCTCAGCGGGAGGAGGCATCCAGTTTTTGGAGTCCTCAATTTCCTCGTCGCTGTATGCGAGCTCCCATTCACCGTCCACTTCTGCAGCCTGCTTTCCCTCCTCAGCATCCACAGCCCCTGTGTCCGCCTGAGCTTCATCCTTCTGAGCCTCTCCTTCCACTGCATCTGTGTTCTCATCTGAGACGGCAGGAAAAAGCAAAATCAGACTCATGTTCTAAAATGTCAGAAATGATGAAACATTTGATCCGTGTTTCTTAAAGCCAAAGAAGACATCCTCGGGTGTCTGGTTTTGTCCACAACCCAAAGATATTCAGTTTAATGTCATAGAAGAAGAAAAAAACAGAGAATATTCAAATTTAAGAGGCTGGAATCAGAGAATTTGTAGTTTTTTCCTTTCTTAAAAAGTTACTTAAAACAAGTGATTATCAAAAATTGTTGATTATTTTAATTGTTAACTGATTAAAAGTAAATTGTTGCTATACTATATATATATATATATGTGTGTGTGTGTGTGTGTGTGTGTGTGTATGTATGTATGTATGTATGTATAATGCCAGTATTACTTAATTATGTGTATTAGCTACATAGACCAGTACTACATGTATTACACGCTAAGTACTGTGTTTTAACATGGTGGTTAAAGACTTATGAAGCATCTTTTAACTTGAATTCTTAGTTATACACTGTAGATCCTCTACAAATCCCAAAATAAATTCACTTCTCAATTACTTGATTAATACGTATGTTAGGAAAATAAATAGCACGGCATTTCAATACTAGGGCTGCAAGGTGGCTCGGTGGTTAGCACAGTCGCCTCGCAGCTAGAAGATCCTCGGTTTGAGTCTCGTTTAGGACACCTGGGATCTTTCTGCGTGGAGTTTGTTCTCCCCGTGCAGTATGGGTTCTCTCCGGGTTCTCTGCCTTCCTCCCACAGTCCAAAAACATGTTGAGGTTAATTGGTGATTCTAAATTGTCCGTAGGTGTGAATGTGAGTGTGCTTGGTTGTCTGTCTCTAAGTGTAGCCCTGTGATAGACTGGTGACCTGACCAGGGTGTCCCCTGCCTCCAGCCCCCCATGACCCTAGTGAGGATTAAGGGGTGTATAGATAATGGATGGATAATGGATTTTAATTCTAGTAGAAGCTAGGTCACAACTAAATCAAACTGCTTTGCAAGTTTGTAACAAGCACTTTTTAAACTGACAAAAAGTTGAATTTAAAGACCTGAAGAGGAAATATTTGAACTTTGATAGCTCACTACACATTTTCTGTCTTCAATGATTCATTTACACCTCATTTATTAACACATTTTCATGGATCGGTTGCACCCTGTTTGCTTACAATATCTACAAGGTACATTAATGCACTTTAAGCCTGCATGATTTCACTAATGCAGTTACAGCTTCTCCACCATTTACTGGTAATCCCTGTGGATTATTTACTGTGTTGTTCACGCTGGTTCTTGCCAGATGTGGGTCTGTAGATATGCATGATAAACTCTTGTCTAACTTCTTGCCTACAACGTGTGTTTTCAGACCCTACATTCCCTCCTTCTGTGTGCACATCAGTCTTAAGGAAGTTACCTGTTTCCTCCTTTGCTGCTGTGTCCTCCTCCTCCTCCTCTGTGGCAGCTGTCATCTCTGTGTCCTGTTGCTCAATGCTGCCTTCCTCCTCGTTGCCTGCTGCGGGTTTCTCTGACTCGTTCACCCCAAGAGCCTCTATGCCCTCTCTCACTGAGGAGTCTGTGGCTTCAGCCTGCATCCTTAATGTTGCTGCTGCTCAACTTTACAGCCACAGATCTGATCTTTAAGAGAGAATACATTACAGTATAACTTGTGTGTGGGTGTGTGAGGTAGATATTTGAGAGCCTGCCCAAAGTAATATCACGCTAGTAACTTTTAGCAAACAGCCTAACAATAGCTAAACGATAAAGAGTCACAATGTAGTTTTATCCTTACTAGACTCAACAAGCTAGCTAACGTCAGGCCTAACCGCCAGCTATGTCTAAACAGTTAGTTAACCAACATAGGTGCGTTATTTTTTAATCACCTGTTTGCCGTGGATTAGTGTTGCAGTTGAGTCAAATTCTTTTCCAGGCGATAAAATATCCAAAGCTCTCCATGGGACTCGCTAAGTATAATAAACGATTATGCAGAGACGTAAACATAGCGCCATTTTGACTGGAGGGACTGAGTGACGATCCGCTCGGCGCTGCTGTTCGGCAACAATCCCACTGAGCGACAACCACACGGATGATCCTTCCGCTGCACACATGCGCACAAGCAGTTTAGCCGACTGCGGTGGAGATCTGCGCTCGGCGTAGTGCGCAGTCGCAAACGGGGCTCAAGGCAAACGAGGGCACAATGTGAAAACATGCTTTACTTCACTATTTGCATTTATAACTTGTTTTAAAAACGCGCATACGTGTGTTTGCGTCGCATAAAAGTCGACCGGTGTATTCGGTGTGGCGGTAAATCTCAGAAATACGGGCGGAAGACGGTCGCTGCGCGAGACGTCAAATAGGCGCCATCGTGTGCGCCGCCTCTGATTGGTCAACGGGAGTTTGCGGTCGCAGCGCTCCCTGTTTGAAAAGTGTTCGGTTAGACGCTGAAGATACGGGGGGCTCGACCGCCATTGTTAAAAGGAGGCGTCCGCAATGTTGCCAAAAGTGGAATCTAGCGAATAACAAAGGTTTTGTTCCAGAAAGTTCGTAAATAATATCGGTAAGCATTAACTACACGTCGGTAACGCCTGATATATACGCAGCTAATGTTAGCTAGGCTAAAAATGTTCGTCTGGTAGCTTGTTGTTAGCGGTTTGAAGCTATCGTCGATAAGGAAAAGTTTCCTTAAACGGCAATTCTTTATGTGAGATGAGCTTATATGTCATTTGACCCTCAGCAAGTTTGTTATTGTTAATATTTACGCAGACATTTTATACAGGAAAACACCAACGTGGCATATACGTGGCTGGCTTGTTTTTAACGTCATGCAGGCCTTCGTTTTCGGCAGATCAAACATGGCTCAGCGTGTAGCAACATCTGATGGAGGAAACAAGAAGACGTCCAGGGTTCGAGTAGCGGTTCGTCTGCGACCCTATATGACCACACCAGACCAGAAAGACGACGGACCCTGTGTTAGAGGCCTGGACTCCCAGAATCTGGAGATAATCAACTGGAGGAATGCAACAGAAACAGTGAAATACCAGTCAGTGTCCCCATCATGTCCTCTTTTCAGAATTGTTATATTAGTAGGATTTCTAATCATTCTCTAACAAGAAGTAGTAACAGTACTGTTTTTTCTTTCAGTTTTGACGCTTTTCATGATGAGCAAACTACACAGCAAGAAGTTTTCCTCTCATCAGTGAAGCCTATTCTGCCACACATCCTGCAGGGACAGAACGCCAGTGTGTTCGCTTATGGGCCAACAGGAGCTGGTATGATGAAGTATAGTTTAAAGATTTTAACAGTTAGTTGTGTATAGGCAGGCGACACTACTTAACTCACAAGTCAGAATATTTTACATGAAGGTTTTGTCACAAAAGAGACAGTTTGTTTTTACTTCTTTGTGTATAAATTATTCTGATCCCCAAATGGCTTTCTTTTCTAAATCAGCATGTTC